GCAGTACTTCCCCACTTTTTAGTACAAGCTACCTTTTTTCTGCGTATGGCAATATTTACCTTGTTATTCTTTGTTATTTGTTAACTCTTCATCAAATGCCATAATTAGGTGAGTAAAAGGCATACAACATTTCTTTCTGCTAACCGCTGCAATATAGCGGAAGAGTTCGGGTGGGGGTGGACAGAGAGTTTGCTGACAGAATGTGGGCGTTGCTTCAAGCGCATCGTTCCAACGTTTCCTGGACAGAGTTGTGCTGTATTTCAATCGACGATAAGAAAGGTCAAAACGGCTATCCTTCTTAACTCTATCCACTGCACATGTTTGATTACAATTGCACTCTGTTGTATAACCTAGTCTATCTTTTCAGTTACGCAAACTCAGGCAATTACGAACCCCACAATCATTCCTGTTATTTTTCATTCATCAATGCGTTTTACCCATTCTACTTTATCGCTCCCCTGTAGTGTTTCCCGATCTTTAAAAGCACGACTTCAAAAAACAATTCGCCGTGGCTTGGTGATAATCGGTCGTGCATCACTAATCCAAATTGATTCATTAATCACAGAACTCATTGATGGGCACATCAACTCTTCTTTTAAATTTGCTCACAAGATTCTAGACGACCCTCTTCATCCACTACACCCTGATCTTTCGTCTTGTCGTTCCCATCCGTCCACACGCTCCTCATTTCGACAGCTACCCTCTCGCATTAACATTTTTAAAAATTCCCCTGTACCCTACCTGACCTNACCTGACCTGACTACTTACCAAAAAGGAACAGGTATCAAATGAACTACGTCAAATGTTTTGTACATGAAACGTATATCACCGACATTCTTTACCTTCGTTTTTATTATTTTTATTTCATTCTGCCTGACGAACAGTGTACATTTTTAACTGAAATGTAAGCATATATGCTTACACAAGTTACACAAATACAAATACGAAATGAATACGAAACCCAATCTCCACCCCATCGTTTGTTTTCAATGTTTGTTACGTTTGCACCATACTTGTTCGCCAACCGGTGATAAAAAGAAGGAACCGCTAATTTCTTCTGGTGCAGAAGGGAATGGAATCAGTGAACAGAATGCATCTTCCAAAAAAAGATCCAGCATGAACACCACTGGATACATCCCCGTGTGATTAAAATCTCATAGAGACTGACGAAATAATGCAGCGTTTAAAGTATCAGTAAAACTCAAATCGGAGCGTTCTTGATCAGAAAAGGATGTGTAAAGTGAGTTGTATATCTTACTTTTATAGAAACCGAAAAGCCTATTAATGACGAATCGATTGATCACAACTTCGATGGATAACCGATAGAGTTAATTTCTCGTTTGATGTGTTCCAGGCCTGAGGTCCGAACTGTCACCACCACCCAACCTTAGTGGAAAGCAGCCTCGTTTTTGGCCGCCTCGATACTACACCAATACTGGGGGGCCTTTTGCAGGTCAGTACTGCAAGTACTAGGTCACCAGTGCCCATAACAAGATCACGGGGTCCACTCCTGCAATTCATCACACTAAAATGCAGTGATCAATGGAACTGTGGTGGTTGAATACCATCACTTAGATGGGTCAACCTGGTGAACAGACTCGCGAAAGTATCCTCCAACGTGGNGTCGAGAGATAGAATACTATAAGTTGATGGGGGCAAAAAAGAAACTGTGTTTAATATTGTCTGTGTTGCCCATAAAAAATCACGAAAAGATGAGCTCAGTAATTGATGCTTGACCGACAACGGACTGTGGAAACAGAACAATCCTTCATTCAGACGACGGAATATAGCACCCAACTGGGTTGCGAGTAGCATGAAAACCCCCTCGTTCATACTTCAAAAAGCTAAAAGATTTATCGACCAAGTAACCCGGTGGTAACGCCACCAAATTACCACCCCGGGGATGTGTTTGAATACCACCACACCGCCTGACTTTCCCCATTGTGTTGAATGGCAGCCCTTTGATTGACCGCTTCCCCCTTTCTGAAAATGATATTATTGCTTATTCAATAAAAGGAAGTAAAATAGAAAGATATTTAAAAAAGATATTGTGTGTCGCCCTGACCGTCTATTGCTAATGGGGAGTGAAAGTATTGGTTGTATTCGGTCTTGTTTTCTGCGGAACAAATTCAATTTGGACATTGTTGCACGTTAACTCGGGAAGAAAAACGTTCCTAAAGGTTTCTCTTATTCCTGAATAAAATGTTGCCGAAAAAGAGGGAAAATGTACTGTGTTCAAAAAATTAGTGACTCAGAGTATAATGGAAGGGTGCATACCAAAAAAATTAATCAACGCTCAACTGTTATCACTAATCACAGCTTGCTTTTTGTACCGAATATCGGGATCAAAGAGAGCGAGTGGGAGTTGGCGTAGGATACTTAGGCACACATACAAACGCCAAGTGCACCAGAAACATTAAAAAAGGAGAAAACCGGTCACTGAGTTCTCTTATTGTATGCCTTCTTCGTTTCGCACATAACCATTCGGACAAGTAAGTCGAACTACATTTGCTTAGCCCANNNNCGACACCCTTTAGTGCGTGCTTGTGTGTAACCACCTAACTGTTGTTCGATCTGTCTGACCACAGTCTGTCAATCACACTCCGCCTGTGCCTGTCCATCAACTGCATGGGCCTTAAAGTATATGCGAGAATTTACTGGCTGGCTGTTTGTTATTGGTATACTCGCAAAATGGGCAAGCAAATTCACGTTCCACGTGGGTTTACAACAAACATTCAGGCAGTCAGGTATGGATGGTAATGGTGATTATTTCAATCCTGTAACTGCCAATC